TGGGGTGAGGGGCAGACAACAGGACCAGGGCATCTGTGGCGTGTGAGGGGCAGACAACAGGCCCAGGGCACCCATGGGGTGTGGGGTGTGGAGGCAGACAACAGGCCCAGGGCACCCATGGGGTGTGAGGGGTAGACAACGGGCCCAGGGCACCCATGGGGTGTGGTAGGCAAGCAACAGGCCCAAGGCATCTCTGCACAAGTCCCTGTGTGCAAAGGCCTTAGCGCTTATTTCTGCATGTTGTAAAAGGTGTGAACATTTCTCAGTTTTTCCGAAACAGTGACTGAATTGTTCTGAAATTATACATTAAATAGTGCTTTGTTCTCACAGAATGTTCTGTGGAGAAGCTGGCTTTATCATATATAAACTGTACTGCTTCATCTGAATATAACCACATATGCAGGACCTATTATTAATTTTTTGGAGACTATTACCACAATTTTTAAAGTATTATTGCATTTCTTTGTCCTTTCAAACTCTTCATAAGTCATCCTGACTTCATGAGTGAGCCTGTCGTCAGAGCTTCTCTGTCAAGTAATTATTTTCTAGATTGTTCTAATTCTAATGCAGTCTCAAAGGAATCTAGTCCCAAAGCTCTCTTTGGATACTTTAAAATGCCAATTTTTTTTTCTATTCTAAAATATTTAAAGGCAAAGAGCTTTGAGGGTTTGCAGATCCCGTTATTGACTTCATTGCATTCTCTTTTACCTGTGGCCTTGGGCCAGGTAAATCTTGCGCAGAAGGCTGGAAGCCAAATCGTGCAGATCGCTGGGAATGTTTTGATGCTGCTTTTGCACCTGTTTTGTTTAGATCTTCACACAAATTCACCATAGTTTCTCAAATGATTTAAAAAATGTTTTAAGAGAAAAGTATGGGGCTTATTCCAAATCTTCCAAGTGGCATAATTTAATCAACAAATCAGATCTGCCAGTTATCTGCCAAGTTCCTGCATGACCCACAGAGGCATGCCTGTGGAGGTTGAAGATGACCAGCCTTCTTATTTTATGTTCATTCCAGGGTGACAATAGAGTTCTGCAGATTTTTTCTTCTTTTTTTCTGCCTCCTTCATTTCTTTTTCTTTTTTGGACCTAAAACTTGGAAGAACATATACCTTAAAAATAAAACTTTTATGGAAGGCCTTGCCCTGAGTCCACATTCGTTTCACCTGTGGCCCTAACATGATAAACTCATGGGTGTGATTTGCTTGAGAACCATAAGCTGTAGGAAAATAAAGAGGAAGAGTCCATAAGCTGCCATGAGGCAATGGCACAGACAGTTGGGATTTTTCCCTAGTGCTGGAGGGAAGTTCCATTAGTTACTTCTCTGTTGTTGTGATAGCACCCTAACAAATTAAGGAAAAGGCATTATTTTGGCTCACAGAACAGAGTTCATATTGCTCAATATTGTTTTTGTGATCTCTATCTTTGGTATTATATGAAAATACAATTCCAATATGTATATTGGTAAATAAAATTTCACTGAATGAATATTTATCATTTACTAATTCATTATTCTAGTCTTGGCATTCAACGTGTCTGAAGACTTGGACATTATACACGGAGATGCTGTGGGCATTCTTGTGTGACAGTTATGTGTAACTGTCTCTGCCCATTTACACCCAGTACTGGAAATGCTACTTCATTAGACAATGTCTGTGCCACTTTGTTGGATAGTACCAGACTGTTTGAAGAAGCTCTCATACCAACTTACACTTCTTCTTGGATACTTGGGATTGAATGCAGGGCCTTGCTCCTAGGGGAGGGCTCAACCAGTTCACATTTCCACCATCAGTGTGCCAGGGTTCGAGCTCTTCAGCAACATTACCAACACTTAATAATTTCTTTCGTTTAATTTTAGATACAATGGAACGTGTTATCTTTAGTTTTCATTTTCTTTTCTTTTTTTTTCTTTTTTCATTTTTTTTTGCTTTTTCGAGACAGGGTTTCTCTGTGTAGCTTTGTGTCTTTCCTGGGACTCACTTGGTAGCCCAGGCTGTTCTCGAACTCACAGAGATCCGCCTGGCTCTGCCTCCCGAGTGCTGGGATTAAAGGCGTGTGCCACCACCGCCTGGCCTTAGTTTTCATTTTCTTGATGGCTAATGAAACTTGGTACCTTTTCATGTGTTGATTTGCCAGCTGAAAAACCATTATAGACAAGAGCTTGCTCAGGTGTTTGCTCATCTTGTATAGTCTGTTTTCTTATCAGGTTACAGGAGAAATCTATCTATCATCTATCTATCTATCTATCTATCTATCTATCTATCTATCTATCTATCTATCTATCTATCTATCTATCTATCTATCTCTGCATGTAAGAACATTATCTTAAAGGTGACACAAATGTCTCTTCCCATTCTATTTTCTTTTCTCTTCATTTAATAGTGTCTTTACATAAAAGATCTTATTAATTTTGACATAGTAATAACATAAGTTATCGATGTTTTATCTTATGCTCCATGCTGTTTTGTATGCTAGTCAAGAAATCTATGGCCAAAATCTTAAAGGTAATCTTGCGTATTCTCTTCTAGAGTTCAGTTGTCTCAACAGTAGCAAGTAATCACATATATTTTTGGCTATGTGATGTTAAACTAATTGAGATAAGGCAAAAGGGAAGAAAACTTCAATTTCCTGTTCATACTAGCCATGCATTTAAGGGTTCAAGAACCATAAATAGAGGACCCTCCCATTGCAGAAAGTTCTTCTGGTCACATATGTTTAGAAACATCATTAGTTTGGCTTTTGTTGTGGTAGATTATTATTAGTCCTGGGTAAGAGGATGATTAATTATGACCTTCTATGAACTGAA